GTGGCTGCCTTGAGTTGGTCAGGGTAGAATGGATTTGGTCCTAAAGGGAGGAAAGAGGGACAGGAGCCGAGTCATTTTATCCAAGGTCTCCATGGCTGCCACAAGGGGCGACCGGGGGCAAGAAGGAGGCTCCCTCAGCTACCAGATGGTGAGGGTGTGGTGCCAGAGAGAGACCCCAGGACACATGGGGGTTTCCCCATGTGGGAAACCCCCATGGCACCAATCCCCTCCCCTGCTGCCCCATAGCCCCTCCAAGAGGAAGATGCAGCACATCTCCAACCTGTCCATCGCCGTCATGTATGTCATGTACTTCCTGGCCGCCCTCTTCGGCTACCTCACCTTCTACGGTATGGCTGGACCGTGGGGGCAGAGACAGAGGCCAGGCTGGGGGGCAAGGGGCTGGCCAGTGGCCATGGCACCCTGCATACTATAGGCGTTCATTAGGTCTGTGATGCCTAACTGTGCCCTACAGCTGTGGAGGTGTGTTGCCACTCCTCAGTGTCAGGGTCAACCCAGGCTCAGAGCCCAACCCCATCCCTGGACCTCCTGCTGACCACCCTCCCTGCCTGCCACAGACAGGGTGGAGTCGGAGCTGCTGCACACCTACAACAAGGTGGACCCGTTTGATGTGCTGATCCTGTGTGTGCGCGTGGCCGTGCTGACGGCAGTCACACTCACAGTGCCAATTGTTCTGTTTCCGGTGAGCCAATGTGCAAGTGGCCAGGTGGCCAGACCACTGGCGGGGTGGGACTGATGGGGCTGACAGATTGATGACTCTCCCCACCCTGCTTCCCAGGTGCGCCGCGCCCTCCAGCAGATGCTGTTTCAGGACCGCGAGTTCAGCTGGTTGCGGCATGTGCTCATTGCTGTTGGCCTGCTCACTTGTATCAACCTGCTGGTCATCTTTGCCCCCAACATCCTGGGCATCTTCGGGGTCATCGGTAAGGGTCTGGCCCTGCTGTGAATGGAGGCAGGGTACTGCCCCAGAGAACTTCCCTTCTGCAAACGCTGGCAGATTCCTAAGCTCATACCCTACGTTTAAGTGATGGCTGCTGGCCATGTGCACAGCTTGGCCTCCCATCTGAGATTTGTTCTTAAGGCTCTCCTAATCCATTTTGACGGCTCAGAGCCACCGAGTCAGTTACCCTTGCTGGGGGTGCTAGAGGATGGAGTGGAGCCCAAGGGTCAAGGGGCCTTCACTAAGGATCTCATTGGCTCTTGTCCTCACCTCACGTATGAGGAAGTTTAGAGTGATTAAGGGAGAGCCATATAGCTGTTAAGTGGAGAGCCTTGACTGGGCCCCAGGATCATGGGACTATAGGTTTAGGGTTCTGTCCAACTGTCCCAATTGGGGCTCTGAGTGGGAAGATCATACAATTCTGAGACGTCTTTGGGGTGACCCAACTCAGGAGACTGACTCCCCAACCCAGCTCTGCAAGGACCAACACACAGACCTGGGGGCTGAGTATCACTGATATCACTGACAAGACTCTTGGTTCTGTATGTCTGAAAGCCGACCCAAAATGAATTATACAGAAAGTAATGTATTGGCTCAATTAATGGAAAAGCCTTCAGGAATAGCTATACCCAGGAGCCCAATATCCACAAACTTCATCTCTGTCTTTTGGCCTGCCTTTTCTCTTTGCCAGCTTCATTCACTGACAGAGTTTTCTGACACCAAAGGCACTAGCCTTCTATCCTGGTAGACAAAGAACAAGGGGAGGGGCTGATGGGCTCTCCAGAATCAGACAGAGCTCTCAAGTGGAGTCTCAAGACGAGACTCCCTCATCAAGGAATGTTTGATCTCATTAAAGGGTCAACCCTGAACCTTAGCCAATAGGTGGACGTGAGCCAGTGGTGGCCATGCCTTATTCTTTGCAGGTGCCACATCTGCCCCGTGCCTCATCTTCATCTTCCCTGCCATCTTCTACTTTCGCATCATGCCCACAGAGAAGGAACCTGCAAGATCTACCCCCAAAATCCTGGTGCGAAGGGCCTGGGGGTTGGTGTGCTAGTGTGGGGATGAGGGGGCTGCCCTGACCTCAGACCTGACCCTGACTTCTGACCCCACAGGCCCTTTGTTTTGCTGCACTTGGCCTCTTGCTGATGACCATGAGCTTGAGCTTCATCATTATTGACTGGTTCTCGGGGACCAGTCGGCATGGAGGAAGCCACTAGGATGACCCCCATCCTGTTCTGTCTACTCGTCCTCCTACCCCTGCCCAGACTCTTCAGCCCCTGCTCCCATCCAGTGGCCAGTTGTGGGGGGAAGAGAAAGACGTGGTGAACACTATGGCATTTGGCCCTGCCCCATGTCCTCTCTGTCGAAGTTTTTGTTAGAGCCAGGACCAAGGCCCTTGGGCCACTACCCTGCTGAGCTCCTGGCCTACAGGAGCTTCCTAAGCTGGGAGCAAGGTGGGGCTGTACCCCTGCTCCCTTCCTGCTGCCTCAGGTCCCACCCAAGCCCCTTATTCTCTTTGCACAGGTGCACAGACTGAGGCCCAGCAGCTGCCCCCTAAGGTCACGTAGCCTATAGGGGCACAAAGAGCTGAATTAGGCCTGCAGTCATCCCCCCACCTTGCTCCTGGGCCATGGTCTGCACCCTGGGGCTTCATCTCCCTTAGCCTGCTTGCCTTTTCTCCTTCTGTCACCTAGGCCCCTTTCGTGGACTCAGGCCCTTGGATAATCTGGTCCTCTTTCCCATCCCCTCCACTAGGAGCAGAACCCCCTCACCCTATGCTTGAGGGTGAGGCTGGTGTGGACACCCCAAGGGACCCCTTTCCTGGTCTTTCACCAGTCCTGGGGAGGCTGGGACTCCCCCCACCCCAAGCCCAGGCCATAGCTCACATTCCACTGCTGGGAGAAGAAAGAAGCTGAGGCCCAGAACGTGTCTGCCCCTGGGAGCCAGAGACCCCAGGGGCCAGTCTGGGGCAGGGGTGGAGAGGCTGGCAGCCCCCTTTTATAAATATTATACATAAGACCAGCTGTGCTTTATATTCTTGATCTCCATGGTCCCTGGGTTCCTGGAAAGTGGGGTGGGAGCCGGGACATGGATGGTGATGGAAGCCTGCCCTGCCTTTTTCCCTGGGATAAGGGTGGGGACAGGGTGAATCCCCTACTCCACCCCGACCCTGCCTCCCAAACCAGCCAGTGGTGGGCTGAGACCCAGCTCTGGGCCTGGGCCAGGCTCAGCACAGACCTGCTTTCTCACGGGGTGAGGTGGGGAGGAATTAATGAGGCCCCAGGAAATGGGACAGAGAGAGGCCTCCGGAAGGAGGCAACGTGAGGTGCATCCCCAGCAGCTTCCAGGGAGGGTCTGAGCTGGGGGCGGCTGAGCCCTGCAGAAGCCCTGCAGAAGGGCCCCCTGCCCTCCCTAGCTGCCATGTCAACCCTCTGTCAATGCCTTAAATCTGGGGACAAAAGTCCAGGGGTCCTGTGCCCTGTCAGGCTAATCTTTTATTAATAGTAAAACCTACTACGAATAAAGGTGGGTTAGTGATTGCCTGTATGTGAGGCCTGAGTTTTGAGTGGGGGAGTCCAAGGCAGGGCAAGAGCTGCAAGGATGCAGGGCAGCCCCAGGTGGCCTGGCCCGGGTGGGACTGGGAAGCTGCCCATTGCCTGAGGCAGGCCTGAATCAGCTGGGACCCAGCAGGATGGAGCTGCCCAGGCCTTGGCATCAAACCCTCATTAGGAGAGACCCTGCACCCGGCTAGGCGGCCAGGGAAAGGGCAGCAGGAAAAATCCAGTTTGAACTGGCAAGGCAGCTGCCGGCTTGAGAAACCCCTGAAGAAAGAACTTCCTCAAGCTGGTGGCTGCTAGGCCCGTGGCAGTGCCAGCTGATCAGAGAGGGGCTTCCTGAGTCTGGTTCTCAACAGCCCCAGGCGCCTGACTCTAGCCTGGGGACTCACTCAGGAGCCCCGTGGCCCCAGAAAAGAGCTGGACACTGGCCTAGAGGTGGCCGCAGCCCAGAGTGCCCCTGGCATGCAGGGCTGCCCTCTGGAGGTCTCTGGCGTCTTCCTCGTCAGGTGAGGCCATGGCCCTGCCTGAGACCCTTGGCTCCTGTGGAGCAGGAGGCAATAAAGGGCAGGGTCCATCCTGCTGACAGACCCCGGGGATCTTTTCTCAACCTCCCTCCATCCAAAGAAGGCTGCAGGTCAGAGCAGCAGCAGGACTGCCTGGAATCTCTTAAGAGCCCAAGCCTGGCTTCAGGCCTCTCAGACCAGGGGGATGAGCTGAAAGTCGCTCCACCCACCCCTCCCCGCTGCCACACACTTACACACTCACCCACATATACACAGCTGGGGTGGAGGAAGGACCCTGGCCCCTGGAGGCCACCTCCAAGCAAGTTCTCCTCCAGACTGAGTGCTGGGCAGCAGGCTCCAGGGGCCAGGGGGCAGGCAATGTGGCCACTACACCATATCGAAAAGTCAAGTGTCCACAAGACTGTTTGAAAATGAGTATCTCTGGCTGTCAAGTTCCAGCCATTCCACTTCCACGAGGATGCGTCTGCAGGCCCTTGGTAATCACTAAGCATTTTTGTATGTTTTGAAGAACTTCCCAAGTTTTTTTTCTCCTGGTTTGCTTTTTAAAATTTGCTCTGAAAAACATTTTTTAAATCTGAAATGTTAACAAATTAGAGCAGGAATTCCCTGGTGGTCCAGTGGTTAGGACTCTGTGCTCTCACTGCTGAGGGCCCAGGTTCAATTCCTGGTCGGGGAACTAAGATCCCACAAGCCGTGTGGTGCAGCCAAAAAAAAAAAACCCTAAAATTAGAGCAGCACAGAGGTCGTCAATATTTCTTTTCACCACTTTTCTTATGACTGCTTGTAACAGAAAAATAAGATAATACAGACCAGGAAAAAGGGCCAAAGCATAGGCCTTGGTCTCCCTGACCATCAGCTGCCCCTGCCTGCACCCTTCTCACCTGTGTGCACATGCACACATTCGCCTATCAACTGTAAAGGAATTCATTGTTCATTCATTTGACAAGTATTTATTAAGATTTCCTATGTGCCAGGTGCTCTTCTAGCACCTGTATGTACAGCAATGAACAAAGTGAAGAGCCCTGCCTTCCTTGGACCTATAGGTGGGGGACTGGATTCAGACCAGAAACATGAGACATAATCAGTAAGTTATATCATTTGTTAGCAGATGATCAGTAGTATAGGGAGTAAAGGGCAATGAAAAATAAGGGTTAGGGGCTGGCTTCCCTGGCGGTCCAGTGGTTAAGACTCCACGCTCCCAATGCAGGGGACACGAGTTTGATCCCTGGTCGGGGAACTAAGATCCCACATGCCACGTGGTGCAGCCAAATAAAATTTAAAAAGAACAAGGGTTGGGAGGTGGGTCAGGGTGGGCCTCACTGAGGAAGGGATGTTTGATCAGAACTTGGAGAGGAAGAAAGCCATGCAGATGTCTGCAGGGAACACTCCAGCCAGAGGGATCAGCCAGTGCAAAGCCCTGAGGCAGAGGCTTGGGAGAGGAGCAGCCAGGAAGCCATCGAGGCTGATGCTGAGAGAGGTGGGAGAGGGTAGAAGGGGCTATTGGGGGCTAATGAGGGGATGTTGTGGGACCATGCCAGCTACCATAGGACTTTGGATTTTTCTGTGGAAAAGGCAAGAGCCAATGCCAGGTCCTGAACAGAGGAGGGGGCAGGATCTGACTCAGTAGCAACTCTAGGTTTTAAATGGATTATTCTGGCTGCTGCATTGAGACTAGACTCTGGGGTGCGAGATGGGGAGCCAAGGGTGACACTGACACAAGGGCTACTACAGTTGTTCCAGACAGACATATCAGGTGTCTCAGCCCAGGTAGTGGCAGAGTTGGGGTGAGACGTTGGGCATATCCTGAAGGGTTCCCTGATGGCTTGGGTACGTATGAGGGGAAGGGCAGAGACAAGTCCAGAGTGACTCCATCTTGCCACTGTATCTGCTGAGGGAGGCGGGGGGAGGAGTAGGCTTGGGAGGGAGATCAGTTTTGCCCATGAAAAGTTTAAAACACTGACTGGACATCAAAGTGGAAATGCCATGTTTGCTGCTATGTGTGTGACTCAAGTTCAGTAGAGTGACAAGTGCTGGAACTTTGGATCTGGGAGGTAAAGAGTGTGGATTGGTACTTAAAGCCAGGCTCCTGGATGTGATGGGGGCAGATGGGTTTGGAAGGAGGAGGGCAGCAGTAGGGACTGAGCCCTGGAACATTCCTCTGTTAGGAGGTAGGAGAGATGAAGTGGAACCAGCAAAAAAGCTGGAGGGAGCAGCCAGGAGGTGGGAGGAAACCCAGGAGAATGTGGGCTCCTGGGAACCAGATGAGCATCAGCTGCTCAAGGAGGTGAGGGTGGAGCACAGACCACTGGGTCCAGCAACGTGTAGGTCACTAAGGACCCTGACCAGGGCTTTTTTTGTGGAGGGAGGGGCAAGCCTGCCTGGAGAGGGTAGAGGAAAGAGAGGTAGAAAAGAAAAGATAAAGTGTAGACAATTTGTGTGAAGTGAGAGGAGCAGGGCCAACACAGGCGTTTAAGGAAGACTGGGAAGAAGCAGCTATTGAGGGTAAGAGATTCGAAGAAGCTGGCAGCGTGGTGGGTTGGAGGCAGGTGAAGGACTTCTGGGCCAGAGCCATGGAAGTACTGAGCTGGAAGACAGTACGCGGAGGTTGTTGGGCAGTCATATCAGGGAACACGCAGGGTGGCCACAGCCTGGCTTGGCCAGGCCAATTGCTGGTAGCTAGGAACATCATGGGTCCACGATGAAGCCAGGGACGTCAAAGAGCATATGCAGGGCCCCAGAAGACTCTTTCAGATCTCTGCCTTGACCTCACTTTAAAGTCATCCAGCAACTAACTTTCAAATGACGTGGAACAGTAATAATAGACTGCAAGCTACTTAGAAAGAAAAAGTAGCCCTGGGAAAATCGGAAAGAACAAAACTGCTTTCAAAACCATACAAGGCTGCAAACCTGCCCTGCCACGCACAGCGGGATCTGGACAGGATTAGACTTAACCCGCACACCCCACCCCAACCCCCGCCCCAGAAGATCCATAGAAGGCGGCCTCTGCTGCCCCCTGGCGGTCAACGGCTAGAGTCTGGGCGGCGCAGTGACCCACACAACACGTTACAGGACCTGGTGGTGGGGATGGTCAGCTATGGCTGTGAAGCGGGGCCCCGAGGCTCCAAGGCTGTCCAGGAAGGCGTCCTGGCTGGCGCATGGGAAGAGGGCAGGCAGGAAGGCTCCGGGCGGGGCGGGGCGGGAGGGTGAGGAACTGCCAGTCCCACACTTGGCCGGGTCCTCAGGGAGCCAGGCCTGGTCCCCCCATGAGCTGCCTGACCTTGGAGGGGTTCCTGGTGCGGAGGAAGGGGCCGAGTCCCAGCCCCACCCTTGACCAAGCGTTCTGGGAGCCCCACCAAGCATCGCCCAGCTCCTCTCCTTATGCTGCCCACATCTATTCTGGGGTCAAGCTCAGCAAGGCACCCGGAGCCCTCAGATCGCACCGGCATGCGGCCCCAGGCTCAGCGCAGGCTATGGGCACTGAGCCACCCCAGCTTCAGGAAGCAGGGGAGGTGCCCACCGGGATAGTCAACCAAATCAGCGTTTAATCTTCGCTGTGAATTTGCGGGGTTGAGGCTAGAAAACATCCTGGAACGGAGGCGGCGAAGATGCCAGGACCAGAAGAAGCAGGAAGGCATGTGTCATGGCACGTTCTGAGGCTGGGCCGAGAGGGCGGCTAAGGCTGGAGGAAGGCCAGGAGGGATGGGATCAGAGCAGGGCAAGGGCCATGGGGCGCCACGGACGGCTCTGAGCCAGAGGACACCGAACGGCTACTGCCCTATGGAGGGAGGGCCTCTCTGGCCACCGAGTGGGCAGATCGGCGGAGGCGGGGGCTAGGGCTGGAGGCAGAACGAAACGGGAAGGCAGGCCTGGTGGGGGTAATGGCGAGCGGCAGTCGGGAGGAGAGGAGAGGACTGCGGGGAGGTGCGGGCGCTAGGCCCGCCT